CCTACTGTGGGCAATCGGTCCATGTCGGGTGTGCCCCGGGTGCCAAATCCTAGTACCGTGTCGATTAAAAATGCACGCCCTGAGAATGGCACACCCGCTCTCTCTCTGTCGCGCTCTCTAAGTAAACTGATGTCGGCCCCGGTATCTATGAAGAACTGCAACGGGGTGTTGCGTACCTGGGCCTTTACAGAAAAAGGGCTCTCGTCCGCCTTTCCGATGCTCTCCACTGCGGAGACGCCACGCCAAGGATGCGGCGCTCCAGGAATTTGCGTGAAATGGTCTCTGGATAGCCTCACGTAGCGCGTTAGTCGTCGGTTGAGCGTTTCCCTGAGTTGTGGGAAGTCTCCGGGTTGGATGGTCGCAACCGCCACGTTCACGTCGGCCACGTAGTTGCTAGTTGGGAACACTCTCTGAGGTCTGAGGTGAAGTCTTCGACTTCGGTGTCCGGGTCTCTGGGTACGTCCAGCAGGTCGAATTGCCTGGACTGTGGGATTCTGTTCCACAGTAGTTGAATCATGGCAGTTTCTTGCATGTTGAACGCTGCACGTCGGACTGTGGCCGCTGCGGAGTCGACCCAGTCTCCGAATCGCTTTTCGTTGGTGATGTCGGCTTCGGGCCACGGCTTGCTGCTGACGCGTGAAACCCATTCGTTCCGTTCGGACTTGTCCATCGGCTCTGGTCTCGGGAACCTCGGTATGTAGCGGAAGCGGACAGCACCCTCAACCCATTTAGTAGTTGTCGCCAGTGATTCGTCCATGGTGGATGAGGGGGCCGGGGTAGCGCTATTGCCGTTGGCCTTGCATTCGGCATCGCTGTCGATAGCTACGATGTCTGGCAGTTGTTCTTGTAGTTAGTCGCGGGAACAAGTTGTGTCCAAAACATGTATAGAAATTTCTTTCGAGATCGTTATGTCCCTGGACGATTCAGATTCCTCACCCACTGACCGTTCGGGTCCCTGCAAACAAATGCCCGCCCACTGACCGTTCGGGGCCCTATCTGTCGATTAGCAGCCCCAACATGCGTTAGCCCTCATCGGTGCTTGCATAGTAATCATTTGTGCTCTCCCGCAGATTGTCAGCCCTGCCCGCCAATCCATCTTCGGAACAATATAAACAGACTCTTGGGTATCACGACAGACGTGTTAACAGACGGATGTTCTTTGAATTGCCGGGACTTACGACCAGATCGCTAAAGGGGAAACCACCGACCGGCTTTAAGCAGATGTTGGGTTGTGCAGAGTTGATCATTTTTTGATAGAACCATTTTGGAACTAACAAGGCGTTCGACAAAAAAAAACCACGACATCACGTCTTCACACCGTGTGAGGAATGAACTCAGCAGCTGTGGTGGTCAGTTGGTGGTCACTTCAGTTAGTTGTTTTGTCGGCGCAACCCGCATCTATGCGCACCTGCTCCCAGAATTGTCGTTGTTTGTGTTCCGCTTCGTATTTATTTTCGGCGGTGAGGCAATGAGGGACAATGGCGAGACTCAGATTGGTGTGCTTGCCATCGACATGATGGTCGAGCACTAAATAGGTCTGGGCGTAGCTGCCGATGTACCAGTCTTTTTTACCCGAGTCCTGGCGGGCTCTCTTAACAAGCGTTGCGGCGGTTGATTCGAGATGGTTGACGACTTCGTCTGTGAGCCGGTAGGACTTGACGAGATCGCCAAGGTTGGCGACGCGCCAGAACTTGAGGCGGTGGTCCATCTCATTCTTTACGAGGACAGCGGTGTTCTTCTCAGCGGTGTTCTTCTCAGCGGTGTTCTTTTCATCCGACATGATCTCGCAGGAGGGCATCCAGGTGTGACGCCAGGGGATCGTCGTTACCTGGACACCTTGCTTACGGGCAGCTTGTGTCACGGCCCACTCACTGCGTTCCACCTCTAGTTCCCAGGTTTTCTGTACGGATGTCCACGCTGGCCACGGGCCGTAAATGAGGTTATCTGTCGGGATTGGTTGGGCCCACTCACTGACTGGCAGCCGGTGATCATCCGGAACCAGGACTTTTCTTCTTTCCCTGTCGTGGCTCTGTCTCTGCAGTATATTCGTGATCACCCTGCCCGGCGCTGGCAGGCTTATTACCCTCCCCGGTCCGCAGCGCGTGCACCCCGATGTCGAGCTAACCAACGCTTCTACATAATTACGCCTCATACCAAGCAGCGGCCGACAGATGCCCTTCCATGAGAATGATGTGTAGTCTCCAGAGGGCTCTAGCCTCCTGTAGGTCTTCAACAACGCTCCATGCAACAGACCCATGCTCTTCATCGGGGTCTTCAACGACGCCAACACCTCTGTGGTCACCGAATCCCCCGTTGCCACCGAATCCCCCGTTGCCACCGAATCCCCCGTTGCCACCGAATCCCCCGTTGTCAACTTACCAGCCTCGGCCAACTTTACCAAGACATCTTGTGCCATGCGAATGCGCTCCGCTTCGTCACCAGCCCTCTTAGCGTACTTGTAAAAACAACCACCCATGTCCAGTCCCACGGTCGGACGGACAGCGTCACCCACCAACTGGATCTGCTCAGCACTGAACAACGTACCTTCGCTCTCCATCAGCTTGTCCACCGCCTGCAAGGCGATAGTCAGAAACAATCGAGGAGTCATACGATCTTCACCACCAAATCCCAGTCTGACATAACCCGGCATCGGCGAAGGAGTGACAACATCCTCCCGGCGGTCCCATACCACGCGCTGGGTCTCAAGCGATTCGCAATGTCTCTCACCCGTTGTAGTAACGTCAAAGGTCATCCCAGTTAATACTGACAACATCGGAGACACCTCCTGACAGGTAATGTCTGTAGCACAACAACTTCTCATTCTTTCGATCCAAAAAAAAAAAACCAAGACGTATTTTTGAATTCGTATTTTTAAAAACGTGTTAAGAGAGGTCGGAGGTCCCAGTCCGATGACAACCACCTCGCCTCTGCTTCTCCGGCAACCCAGTTCGCCGTTCTAGGGTTAGTCACTCCGTCCTCCGGGAGTCACTTACTGGACTGAAGTCCCGGCCACTCCGTCCTTGACTGCGGAGTAGGAGAAGTAGTCGGTGTCGTCGGCAGTGCCTGCGTCGGCTCGCACTTGGTTCCAGAAGGCTGCTTCTCTGCGGGAAGCCGCATCCCTCCCCATTGATGTGCCTCGTACAAAGGCAAAAGGGACAGTAACAAGCCTCAGTTTGGACACGTTGCCCCCATCAGTGAACTCAAGCAAGACATATGTCTGTGCGTAGCTACAGATGTAGTGTCGTACGCAGCCCATGCCGTAGGGGACAAGCTTGTCGCATGCCTCTCTCATTTCGCTGGCATCCTTCTTGAGCTGGCAAACAATATCCTCCGAGAGCCGGTAGGACTTAACGAGGTCGTCCAGGTTGGCGACTCGCCAGCGCGAGATGTTTTTGTCCATCTGGTCCGTCATCTGTTCACGACTAACGGTGACGCCGTGCCACGTCTTCTCCCAGGGTATGTTTGTCAGCTCGAGGTCCTCCTTTTGGGCTTTGCATTGCAATTCGTCCGCGCTCATCTCGGTGACCTCCTTCCAAGTGCCCTTCACGGTCTCCTGTGGCGGCCACTGGTCGCCGGGTGTGTAGACCTTGCCGTCCGGTCCGGGCACGACCCAGTCCTTAAGTGGCAGCCGGTGATCATCAGGAATGAAGTGCTTCATGTCGGGATGTCGACTCAGCACCTTCGTGATCACCTTGCTCGGCACCGGCAGGCTCATCACTTCACCGGGTTTGCACCGATCGCACACGAAATTTCCAACGCCATCGCGACCATATTTCTTGACTGCCACCTTGTCCTCCCAGCTCATCCCCAACATCGGACGACAGATGCCCTTCCAGAAGAACGACTTGTAGTCACCAGAGCGCTCAAGCGCCTTGTAGGTTTTAAACAGAGCCTCGCGCAATTCGCTCATGCTCGCCATCGATGTCTTCAACGGAGTAATTGAGTCACCCTCAGTCAACTTGCCAGCCTCGGCCAGCTGCACCAAGACCTCTTGGGCCTTTCGAACTCTCTCCGCTTCGTCAGCAGCAGTCTTACAGCCCCCGTACTGTGTGTCGCGCTCAAAGTCCACTCTCACCGTAGGACGAATTGCATGACTCAGTAAGTGGATCTGATCAGGGTTGAACAACGTGTCTTCGCTCTTCACCAGCTCGTCCACCGTCTGCAGAGCGATGGTTAGAAACAGCCGTGGCGTAATACGGTCTTGATCAGCAAAACCAACTCTCACACAGTCGGGCATTGGCGGTGGAACGTCGCCAGGAACCTTGTCCCGACGATCCCACACAACGCGCTCAGTCGCAAGTGATTCACAATGTTCCTCGCCCGGTCCAGTAACGTCAAAGGTCACCCCAGTCAGCACCGACAACAGCGGCGAAACCTCTTGAGACTCAGCGGCACAACTCCCTCTCATCCAAAAAAGAAAAAATCCTAATGGCCGCGCTGGCCTGGAGCCAGTGCCGCCCGTTTGGCCCGTCGCGCTCGAGTCTGTGCCTGCCCGGGCTACGTCCCGGGCTAACTCGGCAATAGAACCTGGTCTGATGCGCTTTATTAGAGTCCTTACCACGTTGAAACTCGGCTGGCAAGTGTGTTTATTCCTCAGAACATATCCGATGACCAGTCACTGTCCTCAGGTGGTCTCAAATCCGCCAATCAGGACACAGAGATCACCGCACAACCCTCCATACGCCCTCTCATTCAAATGGTTAAGAAAAAAGTTTTTAACGGCCACACGCTATCAGCCTCACGCCCACACTTGCCGCACGCTATCAGCCTCAAATACGTTAGCAAAGCCCGACGAGCCGGTACCGTCCACTGGACCTACTCGGGTTCGAGTCCGTC